GACCCTGCCGGCAGGCCCGGAGGCTGCCCGGAGACGCCGAGTGGACACCTCCTCCCCGCGGGGGCGGGGGAGCACGGACACTTCTGGCGGGAGGCCCCGGGGCTCGGCAGAGCCAGCTGCCTCAGAGCGGTCGGGTGGGTGTCGGTGCCAGGGCCGTGTTGACCCCAGACGTGACGGTCTTCGTACCGCCTCTGATCTCGCCCTGCTCGCCCACTGAGTTGCCTCTTTCTGACATTCTCCTGGGGGGCGCCCCCGCCCCACTTCAGGGCCTCAGGAGTCGCGTCTGGCTGCTGGCTCCTGCCTTCTCAGCCACCAGCAACGCGTGTGCAGAAGCCCCTGCCGGTCAGGGCCGCGGTGTGGAGCGTGGGGTGCCGACGCCGGTGTCTGCCCTTAGGACTTGGTCACACGTGACGCGTGTCGTGTGGGCTGGTGTCTCCCCGGGACGCGTTACATACGTTACGGGGCCCCGCAGGAGTGAGTGGTGTGATGCCAGAGGGCCACGGTCACTGTCTCGGGTGGGCCTGGTCGTGTCCCGGGGCGCCAGCCCACAGCCCTGGGCATCCGCTAACTGTGTTGGACTCTGCGGGGCGCCCCCTCCTCGTTCAGGGTGCTGTAAGTGGGGCGCCGCTTTGCAAGGCCTGCTGCCCCCGCACTGCCAGTGTGCTGTCGCCTCCTCCCTGCGGTCTCTGGTCCCTTCAGGCTCTCGCTCCCCGCGAAGCCCAGCTCTCTGGGCTCATGCGTGGACAGCGCGCCCGCTTGGCCGAGAAAGGCGTCACTGCTTCAGGCAGGCAACTGCCCAGCTATGTTTCTGTAACTTGCTGCCTTTTGCCCTGAGTTCTGGGATTTGAATCAAGATCGGCTGAGGGGCCCCCATGGGGCGCAGCGGGTGAGGACGCAGCCCTTCAAGCTGGCCGCAGCTGCTTCCATGCGAGTTCGACCCCCGGCCAGGGAGGGACCCACAGGGCGCAGCAGGACCCCCCCCCCACCCCCCCCTCAGCAGTGTACTTCCTTGACCTGCCTGTTCTGCTCCCCACTGTCTCTGGTGAAGCCTCTCACTCCCCACACCACTGGCCTGGACCCCAGCTCTGTGTGCAAGACCTGCCAGGCGCTCGATAAGCCGGTCACAGCACCCCGCTCCCGAGACCGCCCGGCCTCCCTGGCTGCTGGCTGTAGTCGCCCCGAGCCTCCTCCCCTGCTCAGTCCCTTCCCCAGCTGGCCTCTGCCTCATCGCCTGCTCTGGCGCCACTGGGGCCCAGAGCCCCTTGTCCAGCACCACTGACCACCTCCACCGCCTGTCTGGTCTGCGAGCATGATTCCAGAGTGCAAAGTGGTTCTGCGAGCCCTGAGTGAATGGAGTTGTTATAAAAATGGAATTACTGGAGAAAAAGTTTTTTTCTCTTTGTCACAAGCTAAATTCCACTGTCACAGGGAGTTTGGGGGAGTGCTGAGTGTTGAAATGTGGGGTGTACTTTGGTGTGGGACATCGCTAGACGCTGTGGCCACCAGCTTCGCCACTGCCCCTCCTCCTCTGTTGTGAACTTTTGTATTTTTAAAGTGGACGTGGGGCGGGATGTGTCTTCAGGGGTGTTGAGCAGTCTGCAGAGGGAGGTGACGTTTCCGCCTCGTGTAACTATAGATGACGCCTCCTGTGCCTGGCGCTGTTTCTGCCGCACTTGCTCTCTCTCAAAAGGGGAGCCAGCCAGAGAGCTTTATCTCCTCCGTAGTCTTGCTTTGCCCTGTGCCAGTGAGGCGGCGGGGTGCTCCTGGGGTGGTCCGAAGGCCGGGTGGGGTGGGGCTCCCCCCCTCCTGACAGCACCTGCCAGCTCAGCCTTGGCCTTGAAGACCCGGGCCGAGAACCCCCTTTCGGAGGCGCCTCCTTGTTCTCGGCGTGCGCAGCAGGCAGCACGTCGTCTCTGCCGGGCCTGCCTGGCCTCGTGGTGGGGCTGTCCGGCCGCCAGGCTCGCAGAGGAAGGTCCCCAAGGATGGGGCGCGGGTGGCCCCGACGCGAGAGGGGAGAGCAGGTGTCTGGGCAGCGTGTCCTGGCCTCGGGCCGGACGCCAGTGCACCCACGACCCTGTCCTTGTGAGCGAGCCTCGGCGAGGGCTTGCAGACCCGGATCTGAGCCCTCGGCCCTTCCTGTCCCCTCGGGCAGGCGGCACAGGCGGGCCGGGGCCGGGCCCAGCGGGCTCCGGGGGCGCAGGGTGAAGGCTGGGCAGGGCGGCGTGGGTGGCGTGGCCTGTGAGTCCTGCGGGCAGCAGGAGCTCTGCATGGGCGCCGGTGGCCCTGCCTGGACCGTGGCAGCGGAGGCCCCGGCACAGAGAGTCCCGGATGCCACTCCCGGGTGGCGCTGGCAGCACCGAAATGCCCGCCCGCAGCAGGTCCGCAGGCCGCTTGGGTGACCTCCCCACAGCCTCGGTCCCCAGGGTGGCGCCCCTCGGGCAGCTCTGGTAACGGTTCCCGGAATTGTCAAGAGGGAAGTCACTCGCATGTTTTCATTTTTCTGACGGTTTTTGAAATCTTGGTTTGTGCTTAGAACTTTCAGCAAAGCCTGCCCAGCCGCAGAGGAGTGGTCTGGAGCCGCAGCCCCGGCGCCGGGCAGCGGCCTCTTCAGTCGCGGGCTGGCTTCGCGGCGGGTTCTCCCCCGCTGACCGAGTAGGCTCCTGCTTTAGGACAGCTGTAACCCTGAGAAAACGCGAGGTCCCTTCCCCAGGGCCGCCCCTGCTGTGGGGCACGTGGGCGTGGGCGCAGGCCCGTATCCGCAGCCCCAGTGTGCGCGGAGGCTCCTGTGGGCACCGAGGCGTGTGTGCGGCCTCTTGGCCCGTGGCCGGTGCCTGGTCTCCGTGCCGCACCAGGGGACTGGCCGCGTCGTGGCCGGTCACAGACAGCAGGCAGGACGAGCGCCTTTGCTGGGCGTTGGGCGGCCCCGCCTGAGCCGGGCGCTTCTCTTCCCTCTTGTTTAACACCTGCAGGCACCCCGCCCCCCGCCTTGCTGGCATCCCCTGCCCGGCCCGGGTTCTCAGGCCGGGTCTGGTGGAGACGGCTCCGTCGGTGGCCGGCTCCCGGGTTGCCCCGGGCACTGTGCCCCCGGCGCTCCGAGTAACCGCACTCGACTTGCTGGCCACGCCTGGGCGACGATACTCTGGCGTGGGCTCTGCAGGGTGGGCGAGCTGGCCAGAAAGCCCTGTCCTCCCTCTGCGATGGCCGGGCCGCAGGGGCGGGTCTTGGAGAGGCCGCACGAGGGTGCGCCCTGCACTGGGCAGGAAGGCCGGACAAGAGCCGCACCCCTCGGCTGCCAGGCCTCGGTCACGGAGGCTCTTCTGAGGGATGCGAGACGGCCTGCGTCCAGGGGCCTTCTGGGCCATAAAGGGTTGCCCGGACAAGGGCCGTAGTCCCTGCCGGGGAGAGGGCAGCAGCCGGCCCTGGGCAGGGCCTTTGTGCTCCGAGGGTCTGCTCCGAGTCAGTGCAGCCCTCCGCGCGGTCAGCGCCCAGCGTTTGAGACAGAAACTGCTTAGCTTCCAGCTGCCGATGTGGGGCTCTCACGGCCCGCTCCCCTGAGTCCGCAGTGTCTCCCCGTTGCTCTGGTGAGCCAGCCCAGTGGGGCTGGAGTAGGGAAGGAACAGGGACTGTGCCTGTTGGGGACAGCTGTCAGCACCTCAACAAGGGCACTGTTGACCTTCCCAGCCCAGTATGTGACTGTCCCCCGTGAATGCACCCCACACCCTTAAGGTGAGACAGGTCGGAGTCCAGTCAGAACCGGCCTTGCTTTGTAGAATGTCATAGCGGGCTCACCCAGGGCTGCCTCTGTGGCCGCCTTAAGCTAACTTACCATCTGCTTGGCTGTGTTTGTCACAGCAAGGGAGCTGGGACCCTCGCGCGGCAGCGGGGCCTGGAGACAGTCCCCAGAGGCATGGGGCGCCGGGTCGAGGGCTGGGACACGCTGGTTCCCACCGTAGCTGGAAAGGACTGTTGCTGCCACCAGCCAGGCCCTGCTCAGACATGAGGGAGCGGGGGGGGCCTGCGGCCTTGCAGCGGGCGTGGGCGCCCCGGGCCTGTGAGGGGACCTTAGTCTCTGGGTGGCACTCGGGCGTTATCTTCCCCGGGGTGGGTGAGCATGGTCTCTAACGTACTGACCTCCCTGTTTTGTTTCTCACGTTTGTTTCTGTCAGGAGCGACATTGAGATTCCTCTCTGAGCTGCGGGAAGAGCGTGACTAAATGCACCTGGGCCAGGCTGTCTGGGGGCATGAAGTGGCTGGGCGAATCCAAGAACATGGTGGTGCATGGCAGGAGGAACGGAGGCAAGTTGTCGAGTGACCATCTGCAGAACCAGGCCAAGCCCCAGCCCGCGGGCAAGGACGCCGTGAAGGCCGGCAGGGGCGTGGCGGAGCGCAGGTCGAGCAGATGTACGTAGCCTCCCCGCGCCCTGCAGGCGCAGCGCTCCTTGGGGCGGATGCTGGTCTCGCTGTTTCCCAGGTCCCGCTTTACGTCCGCAGTTCAGGGGGGGGCGGGTTATGATTTCAAAGTCATGTCGTTGTGTAAACGCGATTTTAACGTGTGCTGTGATGACCTTGGTTGTGCTTTTATGCCCACAGCTGTGTGTTTGGTGGGATTACAGCTCAACTAATCTGTCCTGCACAGTCTTAAGCCACTGCTCTTGCATTTCTTACAAGTTCAAAGGTTGCTTTTTTTACGTATATACTTCTCAGGGCGGCCACAGTAATACAGCTGACGCTAACTGCGCCAGGCTCTGCCGTTGCTCCTGTTCGTGGAGCGTGAGCAGAGGCTTGTCCGGGCAGCGAAGTGCTGTGGATAAGAAGTTACCCTCTGCTCACTCTGTACTCTGGTGAGAACAAGGCTGCTTGTTGGGCTGTCGCTCACAGGTTGCAGTCAGTGCCCCCGGCCGCTTACCCCAAGTGGGCGCCGTATGAGCGCCGGCCCGCAGCTGCGTCGCGTCACGCGATCCCCAGGCCAGCTTGGCCCCGGTGGGTGCTGGCGTCGGAGTGCACCGTGGGTCCGAGTCAGCCCGGGTGCGTTCAGTTCCAGGTCGGGTGCTCCGGCTCTGATGCGTCTCCTGCTGTGGCGGGCGGTGCCGCTCGCCAGGCTGGCTGCCACAGCCTTTCCGTCACAGTCTGGGTCTCTTCCGTAGACCTCCGCACGGCCGCCCTCGTCCTCTGCGGCGCAGAGGGGCCTGGAGGCGCTCGGGCAAGCAGTGGCCGCACCGCACCACGGCGCTGTAGGCTGTGGCCGGTGAATTAGGCAGCTCTTAAATTTGCTTTTGGTCTTGTTCATTTCTGGCCAGTAGTTCTTGATCTTCTTTTGGGCATCAGGGTGCAAATAGGTCTTGATAGTTTCCTTGTTGGGCCAAGTTAGTAGAAAATCGCATTACATAGGCTGCACTTCACCAAGTAGGTAGAGCCAGAGGAATGTGTGGAAGAGAACCCCGAGTGTAAAGACGGGGAGAGTCACGGTCAGTGACCAGGCAGGAATGGTGCAAAATAAGAGACCTCACCTGACGTCAGAGCTCCGAAAATACACGGCGAGAAGACGGACTGAATTGGAAGGGAAGAAATAATTCAGTGATAGTTTGGAGACTTCAGTATCCACTTTCAGTTGTGCTTAGTTAGGCAGAAGATAAAATGCGAACGGTCCGGGCCTCCCTGGTGGCACAGTTGAGTCTCGGCACTGTCACAGCCACTGCAACAGAAGTTTGGTCTGTGATCAGGGCGTGACCCGCAGGGCACAGCAGACCTCTCCTGTCCCCCTGTTCTGCCCCACACTTTGTTTCTGGGGAACCCTCACCCCTTGCACCGCCGGCCTACACCCCAGCTCCTGTACGCATAAATAAATAAATACAAATCTTGAAAAAAAAAAGGCAGTGGGCATAGTGGAGTGGAATTGGAAAGAGAAGTTTAATTCACAAGTGGACACTCAACACATGCCCGAGTAGCCAACGAAGAACTCGTACGAGAAATGGAGCGCGGGTGGGCGCGGCGGTGGCGGTGTGGCAGCAAAGGGCAGTGCGCAGACTTCGAGGGCGTCTGCAGTTGTGAGTGTAGGTTGGCAACAGAAGAAAGATCTTGATCAGTAACTAACCTTTCAGTCTGACTCACCAGAAAAAGGAAGTAACCAAACCCAAAACAAGGGTGATGGAAGTAATAGAGTAGAATTTAGCAGCCTAGAGCACAGAAAGACAGAAAAGCCAACAAAACTAAACGCTGATTCTCAGGAAAGATCAGCAGGACTGGTAAAGCTTTAATTAAGCAAGACTGGCCGAGAAGAGGAGACTCCAGAATGAAGACTAGAGTTCCACAGCACGAGGTATCCTGAGGTACCACAGAAGTAGAAGCAGGTCCGTCACTCCACTTCTGGTGGATTGCCCAAGGGAAGCGAAGCAGGAATTCCGGGGAATAGACGCCTGTGACAGCGTTAGCGTGATGGCCAGCCTGTGGGACAGCTCGGCTGCCCATGGCAGGTAGGCGGATAGAAGATGAACTGAGGCGCAGAGTGGAGTGTGGTCAGCGCGAGAAGGGAGCGAGAGCGAGAGCGCGCGCGAGGGCACGTCCGGCAGGCCCGGGCCTGGGTGGGCGCCGCGGAGACGTGGAAGCCGCAGATTGAATCTGTTTAGGAAGGAAAAAAACAGTAAAATGGTAATTCCCTGAAAGGGGGGATGATGCAGACTTGCAGTGATTTCTCAATAAGCTACAGACTGTGTAAAGGATAGTATTTTGCAGATAATTGTGTAAAACGAAAAGCATCACAACAGCAGCCAGTTTGTCAAAGTAACGTGCTGCACACCTTCACGTTACACAAAAGTGCTGTCATATTTATCCAGTCAGACAACAGAAACAAGAACGAAAGAAGGTCTGGTGCGACCGGCTGACAGTAGCACTAGGGATAACCACGCACCAACAGCGTCGGCCACAGGCGGGACCGAGAGATTCCTACAAAGTCACAAGCTGTCAAAACTGATTCGGGAAGAAATATAAAATCTGAATAAACCAAGTAAGAAAATTGACTCAGTGGTTTTCAAGAATCTCAACCTGCAAAGGAAGTTTCCGGTCCAGATGGCTTCATTGATAAGTGCAGTAGGTATTTAAGTCAGAATGAATACCGTTCTTCAGAGGCTGTTCTAAAAATATATTGGAAAGGAACACTCTCCTGACTCATTTGATGAGGCCGTGTTATCTTGCGGCCAAAACCAGAGACGTCGCAGAAGAGAGAAACCACGGACCAGTGTGCCTGATAGCCGGGCCGAGTCCTCAGTGGGGCAAGCCCGGCAGAGGGCAGGTCCGCAGCACCGCCTGCCCTGCCGGGGCTTGCCCTGGCAAGCAGTCAGTGTCACACACCAGCCGCAGACTAGACGGGCACCACACAGCGCCCCAGCGGGTGCAGGCTGGAAACACTGCACTCGGGAGGAATCGCAGCCCCGCCACTCGGGAAAGGGCCTCCCCCGTGCACCACTGACGCCACATTGACTGACGGAAGAGTGAGTGGTTCCCCTGGAGGTCAGGAACGAGAATACCTGCCTCACCGCTTTTAATTCAGCATTGTATGAGTTTCTAACCATAGCAGTTAGGCAGAAAATGACCTCATAAAGGCATCCAAATTAGAAAGGAAGAAGCCAACCATCTAGGTAACAGTGACGTGATTAGAAAGCCTAAGCATTAGAATTTACTAAAAAACTTAGAACTAAAAAAACCCAAAAACTTAGAACTGACAAGTTCAGGTTGCAGGATACAAGGTCAATATACAGATATCGAGTATATTTCTTTCTTTTTTTTTAAAGATGTATTTATTCATACGGAACTGGGGTACAGGCCAGAGATGCAGAGGGTGAGAGGCTTCACCAGAGACAAAGCGGGGTACAGAACAGGCAGATCGACAAACCACACTGCTGAGGGGAGCAGCGGGCGGGTCAGGAGAGGTCTGCCGCACCATGGGGTCACCTCCGGGGCAGGCGGGGATCGAACTCAAGCGGAAGCGGCTTTAGATTCTCAGTGCTGTGCTTCAACCCGCTGTGCCACCGGGGAGGGCTGAGTATATTTTTTATGATAGTTGATCCCCAAGTTTTATTTACAGTGACATCAGAAAGGAAAAGTAGTTGGCAGTGAATTCAACATATGTGCAAAACCAGTTCAACATATGTGAAAACGCTAGGGCAGACCTGGATGACTGGGTCAGCATCGTGCCTGTTTGGGAGACTCCGTGTTCGTGGGAGGTGACCGTGTGCTTGTCAGAATCTCAGTCAACTTCTTCGCAGAAATCACACTGACTTAAAATTCTCCAGAAGGCCAAGGGACTCGGAATAGCAAGAGCAGGCGAGAACAGCTCGGGGTCTCCTCTCGGCTGGAGCCCTTGGGTCGCGCCTCAGCACAGCAGGTAGCATGTGCGTGGGTGGGCTCGGCCGTCAGGCGCACCTGTGCTCACAGTCCTCATTTCCGATAAGTCCAAGAAACGACATGGGAGCAGAGGACCGGATGTGGGAAGGCTGGAACCAGGCCTGGCCTTGCCCTGTGACAAGTGAAAATGAGTCAGACCTGAACTAAAAGATGAACTTAAAGCTCCCTAGAGAAAACATATTCATGATTTAGGATCTTGAATTTGGCACTTGTAAGCCCAAGAACAAGAAGGGGAGAAAAGATTCGTTGAGATTAAAAGTGGCAGAATTCTGGGCGCTCTGGGGGCTACAGGTTGAGTCTCTGCACTCTCGCTGCTGCGGCTGAGTTCGATCCCCAGCTGAGGGACCTGTTCTGTGCCCCACTCAGTCTGGTAAATCCTCTCATTCCCCTGAACCTCTGGCCTGTACCCCAGTTCTACACAAAAACAAAAGTAAAATTCTCGGCTTAAGGGATACTACCAAGAATGTAAAATCACCGGTCACAGAATAAGGAGCAGTTTTTTTCAAATCACAGAGTCTGGTGAGGGACTGATGCCAGAAAGCAGGAAGCCGTGAGTTGGCAGTGGGTACCCCCCCCCCCCGCCAGCAGCGGGCGGGGTCTGAGCAGACAGACTCGAGAAGCTCAGAGTCACCCGTTAATCGGGAGCAGACTGGGGTCCTGAGAAAGGGACAGGTGTCCCCAGAAGGTTGCACCCTGCACTGGTGCAGGGCCACCTGCATTGGCACTTGCCCAGTGAGTGACCGCAATGGAGGGCCAGCGGGCGGGCGCCGATGGAGTGCGGCGGCCCTTTCTCACCGTCACCGTGCGCACTTGGCTGTGTCGACGCCAGAGGGTCTCGGTTCTTACTTGCAGTGATGAATGACGTGATTTCACTTCCCGAGTACCAGCCTAAGTGGGTGACGAAGCGTGATGGGTCTCAAGGTAGTTTCCCATTGCAGTCACTTTTCTTTGTCCCCACAGGTAATGGCAGTTCTGGATTCGAAGGGCAGAGCCGCTATGTACCATCTTCCGGGATGTCTGCCAAGGAGCTGTGCGAAAACGACGACCTGGCCACCAGTCTGGTGCTCGACCCCTATTTAGGTTTTCAGACGCACAAAATGAATACGAGGTAATTCGAGTCTTCGTCCTGATGGAACAGGCGATGTGGAATTTAAGGAAACCAATGGTCATCTTGCCTTGAGGTCACACTTGACTCGCGTTCGGGGACAGGCTTCCCGTGCCGCCCGCACAGCGCAGCCGGCCTCGGCGCTGTTAGCTCGGCGTGCCCGTTCTACCTCAGGATGTTTGCGCTAAAGTACTGGCTGGAGAAGCATCTTCGTGCTCCGCCTTAAATGCTGCCGGTCGCGTCAGCTGAGAGGAGAGTGCTGGGGCGCTGTGGCCTGGGGCCGCGCTGGCTCCTACCTGGAGTAGGTCACGTCAGGCTTTTCCGTGGCTTCAGTGGCTTCATTGCAGATGTTTCTTCTTTTAAATAACTGATACTCTGAGGGAATCCTGGCATTGTGTTTGCTCAGCGGCTGGGCACTGTCGGGCGAACGCTTCTGGCTGCGCGGCAGTCTGTCCGGTGCGGGCGAGGGAACAGGTGTCTGCGCTGCCCCGAGCGCGTCGGCGCGGTCTGTAAGGTGTTCCTCGGTCCCCCAGGCCTGCCATCACTCCTCAGTATCCTCTCCCGGCAGCCTGTGGGCTCTCGGGGTGACTGCGCTGCCCGACACCGGTGCTGGTGGCGCCTGTCTCTTTCCCCCACAGCGTCATCTCTCAACCGCCGTGGCAGAAGGTTCCAGGCAGGAGGAGGCCCCGGCAGCCCCGGCTCACGCCCCTCGCACGCCGCGCTCGCAGCCCCAGAGCCGGGTGGCCCCGGGCCTGGTGCCAGGCAGAAAGCCATGTCACCAGAGGTGGGGCCCGAGGGGCGGTGGTCAGAGGGAGCTCTGGTGTCCGTTTCTTTCCCTTTCAATCTTTCTCTTACTAGATCTAAAGCAAGATGCCTCGTGACGGATGTTTTAGTTCCAGAAAAACAGGCGAAAATGTGCCTTTGGTATTTTCATGTTATTTCCCGTCATCGTGTCTTTATTTACCAAACCGAAGTGAAAAGTTGGCACAGGCTTGAGACATCTGTCTGCCTGAGATGGGAGGGCTGCCCGGGACAGTCGGGGTGGCCGCCCTTGTCCAGCTGTGGCTGCTTGCGTGACGTTAAGTCCGTTTCCCTTTTTCCTGAGGAAACGGAGGCCACCAGAGCGCTCCTCCCGAGAGGACACTGGCAGCACGCACCCTGCTGCCGCCCCCGGTTAGGCAGACATGTGGAGGGCTGTCACACGTGGCAGCCTGGTGGCGTTCAGGCGCTCACGACGCGAGTTTTCAAGAGTGAGCCTCACGCCTTGGGCGCTGAGACAGGAAGGCTCGCTGTCGCGTGGCACAGTTCGGTGGCCTGCGTGTCTTCAGAAACGCCACCCATGTCAGAGATTAACAAGAACTCCCCAGAGTGTGTGCTTGCGTCATTTCAGAGATGACGCTCCGGCAGGTCTGCGGCGCCCCGGTGGGTAGCGTGGGTGACTAGCTTGCCCGCCTCTCCTGGGCTGTGCAGTGTGTGGCTGGCAACGCGCTGGCCCTGCCTGGTCGCCTGAGCTTGCGTCTCAGCACTGGCACCCCGCAGCCCACCACAGCCCTCCCCGGCCAGGGAGAGACCCCAGGTGCAGTAGGCCCCTCCTGTTCCCCCGCTCCCCTCAGCAGTGTACCCCAGTGGATCCACCTGTTCTGCCCCCCACTCTCTCACCCACCCACTCTGACCTGTGCCCTCGCTCTTCTACGCAGAAACAGAGAAATAAATAGGATCTTTAAAAAGAGAGAGGGGATTGCCTTTAAAAAGAAAAAATAGAGCTGCAGTCGGAGCTCATTCTCCGCGCCGTGTCGCAGCCGGCTGCCGTGTAACCGGCCTGTCCCGGCGCTGCCAGGCTGCGGTTCGAGTGTCGTGTCTTGCTCTGTTCGCCCGCCGTCTCGGTGCACCCCGGCGGTGCCAGAGCAGCGGTGCCCGCCACCTGGGGGTCCTCAGCGACGGGTGGCCTGTCGCGGCCCCGGCTTCCTGCGTCGGTCAGCTGGCCTTCGTCAGCCGCGACCTTCCGACCCTCGTGACGGAGGGGAGCGCTGTCCGCACGGCTGGTCCTTCCTGCCGGCCGGGGCGCGGGGCCCGCTCGTCGCCCCGTGCCCTGCTGGCTTTTATTTTCTTACTTTGTTTTTGCTTCTTTATAGTCACAGTGGGACATGAATTTGTGTCACGTTCAGTGTCACTTTAAAACAAATGCTTGCCTAGAACGCGTGAGGGTCTGTGCCAGCCTGGCTTGGCGTGGTCACAGTAAATGTGCCGTGGGAGGTGTCGGCGTCTGGCGCCCACTGTCACTCCGAGCCTCCCGGGGCTCCCGTCGCCGCGTGGGGTCTCAGCTGCAGCTGAGGCTGTAAGTCTGTTCAGAAATGATAAATGCAAATTGTACAATTCACTTTTTATTGTTTGTTTTTGCATTTATATAGCACCTTTCCTTCGAGGAGCTCAAGGCATTTTTCAAAATCTGACAGTTTTTCTCACAACAACCCTGTGAGGTAGGTGGAGTGCCCCGCGCACGGCGATCAGACCCACTGCCCCTCTGTGACTGCGCTGCGCTTAACCCCGGCGGTGGCGTCGGGAGGCGCCAGGGCTGCTGGCGGCCCTTTCACTTTGTTCGGTCCTCGCAAAAGCTGTGCCTGGAGAAAGCACCCGTGCCCTTGCCGGGGCCTGGCGGGAACCCAGCGTCGGCATCCCCAGCCGGGAGCCCGGGCATCGCAAGCGTGTGGCGGCGGCCGGCGTGGTCCTGGTCCTTCAGGTGGAGAAGGACCAAAGGACCGAAGGGCCGGGGCCTGGCTGGACCCTCGCAGCTCCGTCAGGAGCCCCGGCGCCAGCCCTGCCTGGCCGGGTTCCTTGTCTGAGCGCCTCCTCTCCTCCCTCGCTCCTCCTCGCGTCCGCCAGCGCCCGCGTGTGCCTGGCTCGGCCCGCTAGGCCCGCCTGCGCTGGCCCGCCTGCCTGTGTTCTCCTGGGCTTGGAGACAGCACCTGGAAGGGCGACTGGAAAGGGTGGGGCCGGGTGTGAGTGCACGCTGCTGTGAATGACGCCTTCTTAAACATTTCTAGGCTTGGCGCGGAGTAGTGGGAGAGAAGAATGCTGAGTCATTTAGATAGCCAGAGTATTCAGAGAGGGATGGGCGGTGTGTGGCTTTGGAAAAGCTGGTACCAGTCCCCTACCCCCCGCCCCCGTCCAGGCTGTAAGGACTCTGGCCTCAGCCCTGCTGGCCCAGGCCAGGTCCTGTTCCAGTGAGTGGACACCAGAGGGCGCCGCCCCTGCCTGCCAGGCCTGGCAGGACCAGGGCTGCTTTAGATGCTCCGTTTCCTTCTGGCTCTAAGAACCTGGTGTGTGGCGAGCTTTGTGCCACTGGTGTGGGAGAGGTCACCCTTGGTTGTGGAGGGGCGCGGCATGCTTCATGCTCGCCAACGCCGTCATCCTGAGTGTCCCCCAAGTGCCCTTCTGCCCGCCTTGCGCTGGGACGTGCTCGTCCCTCCCCGCCTACGAGGCATTAGTGGGGTTGGACTGAAGCTGGCCACGGCGGTGGTGCGGCCCCGCTGCGTCTTCCCTCCTGCCTGCACCCGGGACCGTGTGTCCCTCCTCTGCCTCCCTGTTGGCCACGCCCTGCAGCCAGCTGTGCCAGTAATTTTCTGACATTCTGTGGAAGGGGGGTCTTGTCAGTAGGTAGCGAGGGCAGCCCTGCGGGGCCTGCTTGTGTTGAAGTCGGGCAGCAAAGTCGGTGCAGGCCTGTGGCAGGCGTGCCTTCTGTGCTGGGCCCGGCGGGCCGGGGGGGC